GGAAGCCAGTGACGGCCGGTTGTAGCAAGAATTCGGGGGTCGAGTGCCGGTTCTGCGGGAACCGACAGCTGAGGAATAGCGCTAAGTGTCGGCGACACACATATATTTGTGGTGAATGTCCCGAAGAAATCAAACAGACGCTTTACTACGAGGGAACCAAACCCACGGCTCGCAAAACAAGCGATGTTTGGCGCCATTGGAAACATGTGTCGGGAATCGGTGACAAAGCGGTGGTGGAGTGTATGTACTGCGGGCACAAACTGCAAAAACACGCGCCAAAGTGTCGCCAACATCTATGGAAATGTCCCAAATGTCCCACAAATGTTATGGGAAGCGATATGGAGAGCAGTGATAATGGTTCGGATAGTTGTGGCGGTGGTCCTGATTTGGGTGGTGATAGTGATAGCGGTGACCATCAACCAATTGAACCAATAGTTTCGAAATACAGACCACAGGTCTACGAAACAGTCGATATTTGGCGCCATTGGAAGCACGTGTCGGGAAGCGGAGCCAAATCGATAGTGGAGTGTATGTATTGCGGGCACAAACTGCAGAAACACGCGCCAAAATGCCGCCGACATATCATGAAATGTCCCAAAAATGTCAAGCATATGGTGACCAATGATAATGATTTGGATAGTTGTGGCGGTGGTCCTGGTTTTGGTGGTGATAGTTATAGCGGTGCCGATCAACCAATTGAACCAATAGTTCCGAAATACAGACCACGGGTCTTCAGACCGGTCGATATTTGGCGCCATTGGAAGCATGTGTCGGGAAGCGGATCCAAATCGGTAGTCGAGTGTATGTACTGCGGGAACAAACAGCAAAAACACGCGCCAAAGTGTCGCCGACATCTCATGAAATGTCCCAAAAATCCTAAGAATATGGATAACAGTGATAATGATTCGGATAGTTTTGGCAGTGGTCCTGCTTTTGGTGGTGATAGTGATAGCGGTGCCGATCAACCAATTGAACCAATAGTTCGACAATACAGACCACGGGTTTGCAAATCAGTTGAGATTCACGACCTCTTGGATGAGTTGAGTGATGAGAATAAGAGACTTTTAGACGAATTAAAATTCGCCCAAAAATACATTGAATTTATGCAAAACTATAGAAAATGTGTTTTAGTTTATAAGCGAAAGTGTGTTTGCGTCCATACCATCGATCATAAGCCGATTGTTCAGCGATTGGAGACCAGATATGACGACATTAAGACACAAATACAAAGAATGCGAATTCAAAGTGACGCCGACTGTAGTGATAGTGAAGTGAAATCAGTGGCCAAACGCAAGCAAAACAACTCATTGATTGCATTAATCAACGCATTTAATCCGAGCGTTAATTCGGTGACCATTAATGACAACCAGTCTTCGGGTGGCGAAGATTCTGGCGATGATTACAATCCCATCGCCGATGATTTTGAGCTTAATTACTATCCGGTCTTAGAGCCCAACAACAAGAAGAGTACCAATACTGTTGGAAAACAAAGCACACACCGATCCGCCCATACGTCGGGTCGGTTAACACCGAGCGGTCAAACCAAAGGAAAGGACACTTTCTATCAGTACAGGAAAGCCGACGGCAAAATCAAGTGTCAGTGGACCGGTTGTCGCTTGTATTTTGTCAAACCCAACCACATGTGGCGACACTACCGGAGCAAACACACCACTATCAGGCCATTCAAGTGTCCGCAGTGTCCGAAGGCGTTCGCATTCAATGACGGCTTAAGACAACATCTTATTGTTTGCCACAACTCTGGCGCGACTGACGGCAATCAATGGGACCGAAAAGCGGTTGACGAGACCGACGAACAGAGCCACGAGTGTTGTATAAACGATTGCGAGCGTGTCTTCGACGACAAGGAATCGCTGGACAAACATATGCGCGACGATCACAACTACAGACCCGGTATGTTTGTCCGCCATTTTCGCTTAATCTTAAGCAATGTTTTATGTCTTATTGTCCATTACAGTGACCCGCGAGGACATCCTTCTTAAGAAGGGGATCAGACCCGGTATGTTTGTCCGCCATTTTGGCTTAATCTTAAGCAATGTTTTATGTCTTATTGTCCATTACAGTGACCCGCGAGGACATCCTTCTTAAGAAGGGGATCCGTTGCGATTGGCCCGACTGTGAGGTCGTGTGCCAAACGTCGCGTTCATTGGAAATGCATCGCTACAGAGCGCACACCAAAACCAAGTCATTGGTGTGCGGCGAATGCGGCTCTTGTTTTGGGACCAAACACTGTCTCAATAACCACAAAAAGAGGTGCACTTCGTTACTGAAGTACAGGCGATACAAAGGGGGGCCGGCGGCGGATGACACGGATGACGAGCTCTCGCCGTCAGCCGCTAAGCGTCAGCGAACGGCCATCGATGAGATATTTTGGTGCCAATACCCGAACTGTGGCCGCGAATACAGCACACAGTCGGAGCTGAAGACACATATCGGCGAACAGCACAACACCGGCGGCCAATACAAGTGCCAGAAGTGTGACATGAGTTTCGACGGTCGCTATAATCTACGCAAACATGAGATCCAAACCCACGAAACGGTGTACGAAGAAGAAGAGGAGGAAGCGATGAGCGGCGAAGAGATTGCCGAAGACGGGCACCCGATCTACGCGTGCGATTGGGTCGGTTGCGACGACCGGTTCAGAATTGTAAAGAAACTCCAACACCACTACCGGACTGTCCATAACAGCGATTATGCGCTCAAATGCCACAAATGCGACAAACGGTTCCGCGAGCGACACAAACTCCGCAAACACAAGATTATCTACCACTCGACCGGCGCGCCGAAGATGCCCTACCAGTGCGCGTACGAGGGCTGCGGTCAGGGTTTCATTGAGAACTTCCAACTCGTGGCGCACACACGCAAAGAGCACACTCTGGAGCAGCCATACGAGTGCCAACAGTGCGACCGCCGGTTCGTACTGGAAGTGTATTTGACTCGACACGTGGCCCACAACCACAGTAAGGCCTACGGGTGCGAAGCGTGTGACCAGACGTTTGATACAAAGACCGCTCTCAACGGCCACCACAGCGAAAATCCGGACCATTTGCAGCACCGGTGCGATCGATGCGCGAAGAAGTTCAACACGAATGACATTCTGATCCAACACTACAACGAGAAGCACGTTATGGAGCGTAAGTTCAAGTGCCCGGAGCCGGACTGCGACCGACAGTACATCAGTTATCGCCTTTTGCGGAAGCATATGGTGGTTCACCGCGGCGTCCGGTCGCACGTGTGCGAGTGGCCCGGCTGTGAGAAGGCCTTTTTCACCTCAACCAATCTGAAGGTCCATCGGGATATGCACACAGACGTGCGTAACTTCCGGTGCGAATACCAGTTCTGCGGCAAAACTTTCCGCAAGAGGGTTACGCGCGACACACATATGGCCACTCATCAGGCGATCAAGAAGTTCGGCTGCTGTTGGCCGGGATGTGAAGAGACGTTTGTGATGCGCGTCGCGATCGACGCTCATATATACGAACACCAGGGCCTCAAGCCTTACCGCTGCCAAATGGACGGCTGTAAGATTGCATGCCGTAGACAGAACTCTTTGAAAAGACATTATACTAATATACACCATAGAAATGACATTGTTGTCAAAAATCTGACCAAACAATATCCAACTGATCAATACATCATGATCAATTCAGATCTCTAATAGTTGTAATCACTTGTAATAATAATAATAATAATATACATTACCGTAATTATAAAATAATTCATTACTCAAATTCTCTACTTTTAATTTCAACGTTAATTTCAATTATAATTTATTCTCTATTTTTACATTTAATCCCAATTTCACTCACAGACTGTTGAATGAATTATACATACATTAACCAATCGTTTAATTAAATAAAACATATTTTAAAACATTTAAACCCAACTCGTGTTGCGGTAAACGTTAAGCACGAGATTCGTGGCGGGACTCACGAGGAATGATAACCGCTGTTTATGGTTAAACCATATAATGGGTGGCCTTATGGGTCTCTATGGCTTTGTTGGTGCGGAAGGTGAGCTCACAACCGGGCCATTCGCACACAAACGTCTGCGAGTTATGAACGCCGTTGTTATGCCTCCGGAGCTCCTGTCGTGTGATGAACCGTTTGCCACAGCCGACGACCAGACAGGGATAGGGCCGGACACCGGTGTGGCGGCGGTTGTGTTCGTTCAGGTGCTTCCGATGGCGGGTCTTGTAATTGCAGCCCTTGTGCTGACACTTGTATTGGTTGGAGTGCTTGTCGATCACGTGGGCGTTGATCTCCTTGTGGGACACGAAAGTCTTCGGGCACTTATGGC